GTGTGTCTGTGGTGGTTAGGGAAAGGGAAAGGAGTTTGTAAGCCGCTCTGAGACACCTTTGGGTAGTGAAGGGCCATGGGGTATAAATCCAGTCTTTGCTCTTAACATAAGAACATAAGAGAAGCCCATGTTGGATCAGGCCAATGGCCCATCTAGTCCAACACTCTGTGTTACACAGTGGCCAAAAGCACCAGGGGCCATCAGGAGGTCCAGCAGTGGGGCCAGGACACTAGAAGCCCCCCCCCCACCGTTGCCCCCCCCCAAGCACCAAGAATACGGAGCATCCCTTGACCCAGAGTCCCTATCTATACCTTGTGGCTAATAGCCACTGATGGACCTCTGCTCCAGATGTTTATCCAGTTCCCTTTATGATGTTCTTTATGGAGTTCTTCTTTACGCAGACTCTAATCTGGGAGTTCTTCTTTATGGAGTATTTATTTTATTTACTTATTTTTCAAGTTTCTACCCCGCCCTCCCTGCCGAAGCCGGCTCAGGGCGGCTTACATAAAAACAGATAAGTTACATTAAAACAGTTACAATTAAAACAATTCTGAAACCACAATAAAGTGCTCGTAGTCCTTGCTGTTTGTATGACGGTCGCAGCTTTTATTCAAAGCTCTCAGCTCCCAGTGTTCAATTTGATTGTCCTTGCAGCATGGCGTTGCCAAGTCGATCTTCTGCCGGAGCGGGGGGCTCCCGGCCGGCGTCTGGTGTGTGTGCGCGTGCACCGCATGCACGTCTCCCAGAAGTGACGTGACGACGGCAGGCGCGCTGGGGGTGGGGGCATGGCCATACGAGGGAAAACCATAGAGTTTTCCCTTGGATTGGCATGGCCCCACCCCCAGCGTGCACGTCGGGGTGGAGTTCTCCGGGGGGACTTGGGAAGCCTATTGCAGCTCTTGGTGGTTTTTTAGGCTGTTGGTGGCGATTTCCGGAATCCGTGGCCCTCTCCCGTTCGACCATCTGATGTTCTTCATTGGTGGTGGCAGCGGCTCCCAGAAGCCTGGTGGAAGAGCTCCGTTTTACAGGCCCCCTATGGGCCCCGGAGAGCTTTACGATCTGCCAGTCAGCATCTCCTGGTGGTCCCCACAGACCCGGCCCTTGTGGCGCCCCCCCTCACCTTGTGTCTGTCCTCCCCCCCCCCGATCCGTTTTACAGGCCCCCTATGGGCCCCGGAGAGCTTTACGATCTGCCAGTCAGCATCTCCTGGTGGTCCCCACAGACCCGGCCCTTGTGGCGCCCCCCCTAGCCGGGTGCTAAGCTGGGCGCATCGGGTGGGTGGGAGAGGGGGCTGCAAGGCTCTTCGGAGGGTGGCCTTTCTGCTTTTTCTTCCCCCCCGCCCACTTCCCCCATCT